CGCCTGGGGCGGGCCAGGTGGGGGCTGGAAGGTGCTCTATGGCTGGGAGAGCTGGGGCTGTCTCAGGCTGCAGAAAGAAGGGACTTCCCAGAGCCTACTCCCTGGCCTCTTGGGCTCCCATCTGAGGGAAGCTGGGGCTCAGGGGAGCTGGGATCCGGGCTCTGTCTCCTCTGAGCGGGGCAGGAGGAAGGAGCCAACAGGGAGCTGTGGAGATACGGTCTGCTGAGTGGTGATGGGAGGGTTTGCCTGGGGGCAGAGATGGGCCAAATGACCCCTGGACCCCTCAACATTCAACTCCACCCCAACCCCATCTTACCTACCATCTCACCTACCTGGAGGTTTTTCCTGGACTGAGGTTGTCTAGTTCTAATTGAGGAAGCCAGGGGCTCCGGGAGTGTATGTGTGTGTATACCTGTGTGTGTGCAGCTGGGGTGTCTTTGGGGTCCTTGTTGACACCATCTGGGAGACTTCTTGGAGGAGGAGGGCTTGCTGCTGTTGTGTTGTGCCTTCTCAGCCTGATGCCAGCCTCAGCCCTGCTGGGGATGGACAGGATCCAGGGGAGAATGGCACGGCGTCAGGGGGAGGGAGGCAGGGGGTAGGGTAACCCTAGCTGGAGCCAGAGGCAGGGCTGCCCAACCACTTTCCTACACTCTCTGGGCCTCAGTTTCTTCCTCTGACAAGTGGGGTTAGGACCTGCCCATGCCATAAGGGAGAGAGGAGGCAGTGCCCATGGGAAGGGCAGGCTGGGAGGGTCCCAACGCTGTGGGAACTGGAGGGAGGTTGGTGTGTAGAGGTGTGGTGCTGGCTGGGCAGGGTGGGTTGCCAGCTGCCCCCCTCAGCAGCCCCTCTTGCCCCCCAGATACCCCAGATCAGCTACGCCTCCACAGCCCCTGACCTGAGCGACAACACCCGCTACGACTTCTTCTCCCGCGTGGTACCCTCAGACACGTACCAGGCCCAGGCCATGGTGGACATCGTCCGTGCGCTCAAGTGGAACTACGTGTCCACAGTGGCCTCGGAGGGCAGCTACGGCGAGAGCGGCGTGGAGGCCTTCATCCAGAAGTCCCGCGAGGACGGTGAGTCAAGCACCTGGCCCAGGGGCGTGCTGGGTTGGGGGTGTTGTGTCACTGTGACCGGGGCCCCCAAGAGCTGCTGGCTGGCTGACGCGGGCTCTGCCTGCCATGGGGTCTTGGCCTCTTCTTGGAGCACTGCAGTTTGGCCGTGGCCTTGGCAGGTGCGGGGTGCCTTCTGTGTGCAGTGGCTGCCAGGTCTTTGCACACGTGTCCTGCAGGTGGAGGGGTGTTGGTATTCCCTGCATGGTCCCTTTTCTCACAGCAGAGAGGCAGGGGAGGGTGGCTGGAAGGGCCTTGGCAACAGGTGTCAGGGGCTTAGGAGATGGGCAGCTGGCCAGGTAGGCTCTTAGGGCAAGAATGGGGAGTTTTGAGTCCCTAAAATTGAGCTGTCTGTGGTGGTGGTGGAAGGGTGATGGAAGGGTGGCGGGAGCAGCCGCAGCTTCTCAGGTGAGTGGGGGGTCTGGCTGGGGGTGGGGTTTGAGGAGCTCTGGAAAGTGACTTGCCCTCCCCAGGGTCTTCCCCACTTGCCACAATGCTGCCTTCCTCCATTAAGCTCACTGTGTTACCGTAAACGCTGACATCCCAAATGAGGAGGCTTTCACAGCAGGGGTTGACCCCTTGCAGGTGACACCATGGCCTAGCCACTCCGAGAGATGGTGGCCGCGTGGGCCGCAGCTGTGGGTGTCTGGGGTGGTGGGGAGCCCTGGACTGGGGGCTCCACAGGCTTGGCCTGAGCCAAGAGGGGACAGCTCGTGGAGGGCTGTGGGGCAGAGGGATGGTGCCAGTGGCTTCCTTGGGGCCCCTGTCGGGGAGTGTGGGGGTCAGGGAGGCCCTTCCTCCTTCTGACAGGCCCACTTTCCTGCAGAGAGGACCCCTCCTCATCCTGGTCTCTCCCAAGGCCCCGTCTCTAAACGGCTCACCTGGCGCCCACAACCTTGCGTGATGGCATGTGTATATTTTTACCCTCCCAACCCCAGGATTCTAATTGCTTTTCCTAAGGACCACAGAGTGTCCAGAAGCTGCCGTTGGTAACACCCTGCAGGCATAATCCTGCTATAAATCTCGGATAAGCCCCTTTAATTGTACAGCTGAAACTGCTTGGGTGCCTGCAGCCCAGTGGAGGGGGCGGCGGGCTGAGAAGTGGGGCAGTGCTGAGGGCGGCCGGTGGCCAGGTTCCAGGCCCCTCTATCCCCAGCCAGGAGCAGAGGGAAGCAGGCGTGACCGGGACCCTGCCCCCACCTTGACAGGCTGGCAACAGCACCCTGGGACCCTGCCGACGGTGTCAGAGCCACAAGCTCCCCTCCCTGGCTGCCCATGAGTCCTTTCTGCCTTTGCTGAGACATAAGACGCGGGCACCTCCCTTTGGGCACCACCTCACCCTGCTCTGCCCGTTCCTCCCTTCCTCAGTGGCTTGAGCCCTGCCCCAGACAAACCTGCTGCCTTTTCTGTTTAAGGCACAACCTCTGTGGGATTTGGGGGAAAATGTGCAGGGTAGGGGAGTGCACAGAAAACCCAGAGGCTTAGTGTTCAGTTGGGCTCTGTCCCTGCCCTGAGGGACCTAGAAGCTGCCCCAGGACTCACGTAGTCCCCCACCCTGTGACCAGCAACTGCTGTCTTGGCAACCCTTCCTACCCCATGGGGTAGGCACTGCTCTATCTCATTTTATAGGAGAGAAGGCTCAGGCACAGAGAGGCTGGTTGATACTGGACCAGGTCACACAGCAAGTTAGAGGAGGAGGAGGGATTTGAACCAGGTGCTCTGGCTCCGGGACAAGAGGCCTCAGCTCTTTTGTGTTCTTTTGTACTCTATCTTCTGTCCTACTTGACCCTCACTGAGACCCATGTGGGTCGACCCTTGTGTCAGTGCTGGGGTGTGACAGGGACACACATCCCCTGCCCGAAGGGGCAGGAGAGGCATGGGGTATGGGTGGGGCCTGGGCACGGTGTTTTGGCTGAAGATAAGAACAGTGTTTGAATTTTTTACAAGCATCTAATCAGGTGTTGGTAAGTTAGAAAAAAGTCTACTCAAGGTTTTTAAAAAGGACCTCACAGTCTAGAAATATAAGAGAGCTTGCTACAGTGCCAGGGCCCACACAGTACCTGCTGCCCCCCTGTGCCATCCCCGCATCGCTGAGGGTCTGTCTTCTGCTCAGCCGGGCCTCCCACATCTGTTCCCAGACCCTCCCATGGCCACCCGGTGCCAAAGAGCAACAGTGCCCAAGGGCCTGGCCCGGTCTGAGAACAGGCGGCTAGGACTCGTCACCCACTGCTAAATGAAATTTGATTTGGAGGACCGTCCTCAGGGGGATGAAAAGAAAAGGAGAGAGCGCTGCGTTCCAGCTGGCCAAATTGAAATCAGAATTGAGCGGCCGGTAGAAAGAGGCCGCTGTACCTTGTAGCCTAATCCCTGCGAAAGATTAAAGATGTCTTTGGTCGTATATTGTATTGATTCGTTCTCTGAAGTATAAATCATCTGTGAGTCGCTCAGAGGAGCGCTGGGGAGGGGAGTGGCGGGGAGGGTGCTCTCGCCAGGCTGGGGATGTACATCAGAGTTGTGAGCAAGTCCTGGGTGCCTCCGGGGCTCTGGCTCCTTCAGAGGAGCAGCATTGTCGAGGAAGCCCATTTTACAGATGAGGAAACTGGCCAGAGAGGCTAGGTCACTCTTTCAAGGCCACACAGCCTGAACATAGAGGAGCTAGAATGAAACCTAGCTCTGTCCTGTGGGCGGGGAGCCCCCGGGTGGTACCCAGAACTGGCAGTGCCCGCCTTCACCCTGCCCATGCATGCTGTGGGCAGTTCGGTGGCCCTTGATGGAGCCTGGCCTGTGCCAGACACCCTCATGACTGTCGAGGAATCCTGGTGACAGCCCTGTGGGCTAGGTGTTTCTGTCCCCATTTTGCAGATGGGGAAACTAAGGCTCAGAGGGGTGAGGCAGCTTACCCAGGGTCACACAGTGAGGTGTCAGAGCAGGACTTGGAGCCAGGGCTGTCAGACCAGGTCCTCTACCCCATGTGCCCGTCTCTTCCAGTTGGCATTGCAGAAATGGCAGCACATGGCTAAGAGTTCTGGCTTTGTCAGGTAGACCTGGGCTCTGACTTGGCTACTTGCTGACTTTGTGGTCCTGGGAAAGTCACTTGACATCGCTGGGCTCAGTTTTCTCATCTGTGAAATGGGGATAAAACAGGTTATTGTCAGAGTGAGACATGCTCCTGGCACGTTGGGCAGGAGCTCAGGAATGCATACAGGAGGGTCTGGCTGCTTTGATTCCAGCCTGCTCCGGGTCAGGCCTGGGGAGACCCAGGGGTGCTGGGAGGCCCAGGGGGCCATGCTGTGCTCTAGCTGAGGCTGTAAGTGTGCCCAGGGACTGGAGACAAAACTGCAGGAGCCTGAGATAGCCTGGTGTTCTTATAGGATGGCTGAGGCGAGTTCCAAAGGCGGCCAGGGTGGGACACACGTGCGTGTGTGTATGGGGGAGGAGTGCATGTATGGGAATTTCTGGCCTTGTGGCTGGTGCCTGGCCCCAGAGGAGTGTCTGTAGACACAGCAGTGTGCATCTGGGACTGTGTGTGTGTGTGTGTGTGTGTGTGTGTGTGTGTGTGTGTGTGTGTGTGTGTACCTTCTGGCTACAGCCTGGGCTCCCTCTTCCCCGCCAGGCTGAGGCTGCCCCAGGGAAAGACAAGGAGGCTGCCATCTCTCTCAGCAGCATAACGGGGCTGGGATTAGACATGCAGAGCAGGCCCCGCCTGGTCTCTGGAGATAACAGGGGTGAGTCACCCGGGAGGGAGGGAGACAGGCGGCGGGCGGGAGGGCCGCGCAGGCGTGGGCACAAGCGTGATGGTGCCCTTTGGCACCTCCTGCCCACCATCCTGGGCACCCCCAGGGCTTGGCGTCTGGAGCATAAACTTTTATATCCCCACTATCTCACTATACCCATGAGGCTCTATTGTGTGCCTCAGTTTACCTACACCAGTGCCTCCATTTCACAGATGAAGAAAATCAAAGCTCAGGGCCTGCTGAAGGTCACGTGAAAGTGTCAAGTGTCAGTGCCCAGGGCTCCTGTGGGGGCAGCTAGAGCATGGATGATATTAGCAAGTAACATTTATGGAGCCTCCTGTGGGCCAGGCCTGTTCTAAAGGCTTCATACGTATTATCTCATTTAGCTCTCAAGACAGCTCCATTATACAGATGGCCAGACTGAGGCTCAGAGAGGTTCAGTGACTCCCCTGAGGCCACACAGCTAGGAAGAAGCAAGATGGTCTCTTAGCCACTGAGAAGACCCCTCTGTGAGGTCACCCAGGAATTTGCCTCTAGTTCTCTCTGGTGAGTCCATTCAGCCCACCTGGGCACATCCAGGCCTGTGTCCCAAGAGTGGGAACAAGATGACCTCTTTGGGTATGGCAGGAAGGACCGTGGGGGCTGGGGTCCGCTCCTTGGAGATGCCGCATCCTGCCCACGGCGGGAAGTTTGGAAGTCTCTGCTCCTGGCTGCCGCTGCGTCCCCCATTGATATTCTGGAGATGCAGGCAAGTCAAGCTGTTGCTGGTCTGACCTCCAGCTCCAACTCCCAGGGCTGAGCAGCAGACTTGCATTTCGATGGCCCCTGTCAGCGCAATGACACGACCGGCTGGTAGGCTCGGCTAAGGAGACAGTGCTTAGGCCCGAGACCGGACAGCTCCTCGTTCAGCTGGGCCATGTGATCTCTGGGCACGGCATCCCTGGCTGTAAGTGAAGCACCTGCCTGTGGAGGCTGGGGAAGCAGTGGAGAGCTGTGCTCCCCTGGGTGTGGGGGCATTGGCACTGTTCTAAGTTGGCTCAGGGCACCCCCTGAACCCAGGAACTCCTCGGGCACCTTTTCTGCTGCCTCTCCCTCCCTCCCTGACCTTGCTTGCTTCTTCTCCCTCACTCTGCTCCTGCCACCAGTGTCCTGGCTGCTTCTCAAATGCTCCCAGCAGGAGTCCACCTCCGGGCCTTTGCACTGGCTGGTTTCTCTGCTGGGAAAGTTCTT